CGCTAAAATGTTAAATTATCGGGCCTACATCTCTTTGCGCATGTGCCTTAGTGTGGATTATAAACTATCTGTAAAGACGATTTCAGCCACTTTGATTATCAGCGTTTATTCGCATAATTGCAGAACGAAGATGAATAAAGAGAAACCGCGTAACACAGTTGTAATCAGTTGTATCATTTGCGTGACAAATCATATGTTATCTGACAATAGTACCCGTCTTGCGTACACGCATTTTTGAGGTGAAAGTTTTCGTAAACAAAGTTCAAATAGGGAGATGGAGGGGGCATATAGTTGCAAATTGGTGACCAGTGACTACCACGTGATAACGAGTATTTAGTCCGTTTATGATGCACATACCGCGTTCGATGTTGTCGTAAAAACTATTCAATAAGACACACCAAGTAAAGTACATCTGGCGACTGAATTCTGCAGCTGATGAGGGATTGTATCGATTATGTGTGAATATAACTGGCCATTACTTGATTGCCTTCGGTTAAATGTTAATGGGTGCTCTATAAAATACATATTGTGCACAAACAACTAAAAAAAAAAACATCGCTCACACAAACCAGAACCGACAGGGCAGAAGCGATTCGGCATTAAAATGTGCATGGCTCGTTTTTTTAAAATTAATTTTCATCAAAAATCCTTTCCCAGACTTCCGGACAATTGAAATTGATCAGTGATAGATTAATAACCAAAAAGAAAATCAAAAAAAAAAATCGGTACTAATAAATAAACGTTAAGCGCACGCAAGCTTGCTATTTTTCGTTAAAAATCTAAAAATCTATGCGGATCACGAAAATGATTTGAATACGTCGTCTCCTAGCAACATGAAAGTTGCAATTTCTGAAGTTCGTGAATCTAATATTTCCTCTCACTGTCAATCGTATATTGTACTCAATTGAACTGAAGCAGGTGGGATGTAGTCATTGAACTGAAGCACTCTACACTCAATCAGTGCTCTTCTAGATATAGTGCGAGAGAACGTCGTGTCAGAATGCAATACAGTCATTTGGGTACCGCACAGACCGTATGTTTATATCTATGTATAAAACAAAAACTACTAATATACCAATAGTTCTTAAAAGTTAGTCATCATTTCGCCTGAATGATTAATTCTAAATAAACCTTTAAAAACAAGCTTAGTTACTTACTTCATAGAAATCAACAGAGCATACGGTTTTTATGTCGTTTGCCGTTTGCGTAATATGAACTGCGTAATTGTACCGACTTCTACCAACAACTACATCTAATAAAATGACAAGATTTATATTTAGAAAGAAATAAAACTGGTATATGGTATGATATTTCAGGGATTAGTTGATGTTGTTCGCCTAGAGCTTCCGCTCCCGTGCACTATTCTGTCTAGACCAATTGATAGGCTGCCTTGTATTGGCAGTCATGGCAATAACACGAAAAATGTATCTCCTTTTTGCAATAACTAATTAATACACGTTAGCCGATGTCTAAATTGATTGGTTGGTTGAGCATGTTCATCCACCTTCTGTGTGCATTTTTTTTGCGTTGAATTGAGACAGTGTTACTTCACTGTCGGCATAGTGCATGCGTTAACAAACAGTCAGTGACCAATCTTGTAACAAGATTCGTAAATGAGATTCAAAAAGATAGGCAGGAAGAACATGTGGTCTCTTTCCTCGCCTAAACGTTTCGATTAATAGAAAAATTATGTGTATATATACAGATCCGGAGTATTCCACATCTCGTAGTGAGTGATCACTTCCGCCTGTCTCATCTTTAAATAATAGACACTACCTCGCCAATAAACCTTGCGAGAATGTGTACGTAGACGATGTTCACGTCTACCGTCCAGTACAGTGTGGTGTTTAATCCTACGGCCATCATATACACATCACAAAGCACGATCATTTGCTGCATGTTCTCGTACAAAAATTAGAGCACTATTTAAACCCATTTCGGAATTATTTTTCGGTATAACAGATAAAACAATGTCAAACGGCTTTACTAGTATAACGAACCGTTATCACCAAGTCGCCGATATATCGCGCGTACAATCTACTACTTACTTTGAGTTCGCGTCAGGATTCGATCATGATTGTTATCAATTTTCTTATATGCGCATATAATGGCATCTGTGCCTCCAGATACTCCATCTGATTGGAATAATAAGAGTAATGATAGTTACAGTGTGAGAGGATTGAGATATTACAAGGGTTTTCCAAATCACATTAATGTTCAGTATTTCCATATTTGGTACGACTGCATGTCGATAGTGTTTTAGGCAGCGTCTTCATTTTTTCCACTGATTTGACTACTTTCAAAATATAACGTAATCGCCTACTGCAAAACTACACTCACAGACAATGTACGGTAATTGCTGGTTGCGATGATTCGGTATTGGCAATCCTGCGACGTTATTAGATTGTATGTTTGTACACTACTAACCGTGGTTTGTATGACAAACAACTGTGGAGGAGCTGATTGTACGACAGCCCAGGTCAATCAGTGTTGCTGATACCCAGTCACCCGGACATGCACACATAACGAGTAGCCACGGTTTAACAGAACGAAGAAGGAAGCGTTTAGGTGTTCTATGAGGACGCAACATTATTTTGACTGACTGGGAACACGAGTAGTACTTTTTTGTATAAAACAAAATAACAATGAGTATACATGTAGTTTATATAGACATAGTATATATAGCAATATCCGTATATGCATATCAGTGCTATATTAACCTTGAACATGTATAATAATGCTACGTCACATTTAATATAACAATATGGGGAATTCACTGAAAGAAGGGGAAAAGATGAAGAATGTTTTGGTCACAAAACTAACTCGATTTCGACGCGAGAATCCATTCGGATATAATTGTCCTCCCCTTTCATTGTTTCCAATGAAATCTCCTCATCCAATTTATCATTTTTTGCAACATTCAATTTACATACCACGCATATTCCCGAATAGCTTTGACATACGCAAAAATCCGGCGTATTTATTCGATTGATGCTAAGAATCGATGACACTGCATGCCACATGGGAATGTTATGATTCGTTGAGCTGATCCGCGAAGTTGGCTATCCAGTAGGCTTTACTTGGCATCATCGATTTTTAAAATATCCTCGTTTCAAGAGATATGACTGACTTTATGAGTGCCTGCAGGAAGTTTGTCTCACTGGGTTCCTAGCATTTCGGGCAAATACGTACAGTAAAGATCAGTTGCCAGATGATGTGCGATAAGATGGCGGAATGTATCCGGTATTCTTTGGTTACCCACAATGCATCTTTGTCACGTGGGACATCCATTCCGAGGGCGGATATCGAGAGAGTTAAATAAAAAAAAAGATGTAAGTGGTGAAACTAAAACCGTGTTTTGAAATATCCATACTAAAAGTGAAATCACCATGCCTCCCAGTGATTATATTGTTGGTGTCTGACACTAGAAATTACTGACGTGATGGCGTCTGTTTAATAAAAAGAATTCTAGCGAGAGAGACTTCTATGCATATGCCACCCAATCGATTTTTTTGTGAAACAGTTGTCATTTTTCGAAACCAATGCGTCAAAAATCTTCAATGCAAGTAACAACGGCACAACTTGTGATGCACGAATGGCGTTTTGGAAATAATACAGAAATAAAAAGAACATTTAAAACCATGGCAACAAGTAAGAGAGTAATTGCGGTATTTTTAAGTTGTGTGTGAGTATTTTAAAAGAAAAACATCTTTTTATAGATTAAATGTTGCAGTTCATAATAAATGCTCCCTGCCAGGAGAGTAATTCGGTGTCTTGGCGGAAAAGCTTCTTATCGAATATTAACTTTTACAAAACGTCTCATCGCTGTTGTGTGGGTCTATTTAATTGCAATAGCTGGATGAAAGCCTATCCACATGTTGTTTTAGAACAAAACTGCAAATGCGGATGAGTAAATATGGGAAAGCATCGGCGGAAATGGAACCATAATAAATTTGTCAATTTGTGGTTTTGAAGACGGGGGTTGGAAAATTTGAGACAGAATTTGGGAGAAATCAATAACGTTAGGCGTTTCGAGGTGGGTCGAACTCTAGATAAATCTGAAGAGAAAAATTTTAACAGGGGAATGCAAAAATATGACTATTTTATCCACATTTTCCCGGTGTGGTAAAGGCGTAATTTTCTTAACAATGCGATTATGGGAAACGAGTATAACACATTTTTTTTATCATTCTGTCAAAGGTTTAGTTATGACGCAAGGTATATATAATTCAATTGTTTACAGCGAAACGCTGAATGAATAATTCTCACCGCAGGAGGGCGGGCAAACTCTTTTGAATGCCAGATAAATTAAATACATCCACTTTTGTACCAGCATGCATGCTGGGTATTCTTTGTTGATAGATATCTACAAATATTTCATTACAGAGAGAATTCACGTGTGACTCTTGTCTATCTTGTTTCGTCGTATGTAAGGTCGTGTGTGATTGAGCAAAATACATGCCACACTATTCAGGTTTATTAATCTATCGCTGGTATTTCAGAAAAGTTTGTTTGTTAAATAGTTCATAAATTCTAAATTATTCTTTACCTGGCTCTAGTGGATAATTGGTATCGCTGTTTGCATGTGTTGATAGCTGAACATGTATGTTGAATTACCGAGTGTAATAAACTACTAGTATTTCACATACAAACAGCTCAGTAACACCAACGTATCTTTCCGAACTTTCAAGAAAAAAATCAATTTAAATATAAGCATGCGCGGAACCGTTAGTAAAAGAGTTTACACGGCTATATACAGTGACGTAATTGATGTTTGTTTCCATGGTGCGAGAAACCAATCGTTTTCGAGTAAACGACCTTAGAAATGCCGATACTAAATTATGCTGAAAGATTTATTCTAGTGATCATGCGATGCTTAAATTTGATATTATTTCTTTCAAAGCAGCCTTGCATAGGAAGCTTTTCCCCCATCTGCTAATTTCTTGCCGGAAGCGCGCGCGAAGAAATATACATCAGATACAATACAACGAACGAATTCGGACGCGCAAGTTCGGGTTTTTAAATATACCATGTACTATTCAAGTGATTTCCATTAATTGCCTTGGCTGATAATAGTTGACTTGTCGTTCCTGGTAAAAGAATCAGATGAAAGAGGCGGGTAAGACGATGTGCCGCTTGAGTAGATATCCACCTCTACGCATTCGCAGGCAAATGTCATAAGACGGTCAAACACTGAGAGCAAGAATAATTCTCTGGTCAACAAGTAACCCTACGGTGATCCCCCGGGATCGTTACTAACGAACTCAAAAGTTCAACGGGTATCTTACATCAGACTGTATACAATCAACACACAAATTCTCGGGTGAGAAGAGGAAAAAAGCCGCCCCGAGCACGAGTTGCTCAAATAGATGAGATTACCATTATAACGCTTCCGTCCTCGTACGATATTCGTGCTGTTTATACTAAATCGTGAGGAAGGCGCATAACTCGGTTTTGCAAAATTAACGTCATGTAGCGCAACTATACAACGATTGTGATCTAATAGATTGAGCGATTAAGTGATGGCTGATGAATAGAAAATAACGAGAAAAAAAACAATTAAATAAAAGAAAAACTAACGAATTGAATGTTATCGGCCGAAAACATCACAGATCAATTAAATAACATTTTTGTTATTGAAACTGAAAATTATATAACGATTTCAAAGCAGTGCAATCAGTAAAATACCTTGGCGCGCACACTTTGACGTTATTTCGATAAATTCTAAAAGTAAGACGAGTATAATTACCAGTAAATTGCATTATTGCAGTTGACTACCTTTGTCCTTGCCTGCCCCTATAAATGTCAATGTCATCGACAAATGCTCAAAAAACATAGATATGCCTGGTTATTTTATTTAGGTGCATTAGAGTATAAATCTATTAAAAGCTAGTATTGCTGCTGATGTGAATTGTGTATTCTTGATTATACTTAGCCTGACGAGCCACGTGAGGGCCTACTCACGCTTAAATGTCAGGCTAGGTTATACTTAATTCGATACAAAATTATTATTATATACAGAATGCGGGGCTTGGATATGGACACGCTTATTAGTTATACAGATTGCGGGCCATGCTTCAATAGAGCGTGGGTGTGAAATAAAGTACGATGAATGTCACGAGAAACATTTGTATCGTTTGGCCATAATATCTAAATCATACCCTGTGCTAAGAAACATGTTCAATTAATCGATATAAAAAGATTATTCGATCTAGATGAATATGCTGATGACTTTTTTGTTGTTACTGTTGTTGTTGATGTAGTCCTTTTAATACGATTAACAAATCTTGATCGTCTTTTGCAGATTCGCCCAGCGACAATATGGAAGTTAAAATTATATTAGTGTGCACAGCGATAGCTGTCTTTGCCGCCATCGTGTACGGAGAAGAGCCCAAAGACATCCTCAAAGATATCGACGAAAAAGACATGGAGGATTTATTCAAAGAGTGGGAATTGTCCAGGGCGGAAGGAAAGCGACAGCCTATGGCGATGTGCGTCAACGACGACCGCTATTGCGTCGGCTGGAAGCGCGACGAAGACAAACGTGACCCCGAACAGTGGAAGAAAAGGCACCTTAAGCTAAAAGGTCTCAACATGCAAGACGCCTGGAAAAGATCGGTACGCAGACGATCGGCCCCTGCAGAAGAGTAAAACAAAATGACATTTATTTTTCCTAGTGAATAAACACAGTGGATGTATATGTTTTCTTTTTACTGGTGGGTTTATTATTATTTATTATCCTGTAAACTAAGACCTACAATTTGTCTATATTTGGTCATATAGTCAACCTGTTTATTTACTTTAAGTCTTGCTTGGTCGTTTAAAATTCCTTTAGATAGGGTACCCGCTTTAGACCACTTAGTCGACACGTGCAACGCGGCGGAAGCCCCACATGAATACCGAACTGTACTTTTTAAGCTAGAATGCCCCGCACGTATCTCAACACCGCTCCTTAGTATGATTATTGGTTGTAAAGCGAGTTAAAATCATAGCTTATTTGCGATGCAACTAATGATTTTTGCATGTACATTCGCACGCACGCACGCACACACACACACACACACACACACACACCCATACTTGTATTGCAATATGTTCCGAGGACTTCATTGGATTAACTTTTAATATAGTTGAATTAACTTTTAATATAGTTGCGATATGAACTCGATTAAAACGCGTTCCTATATAGGGTTGCGTTTTAATTGGAGTTTAATTAAACTCAATTACAATGCAATACAATGGAGAATTGCATTTTAATTAGGTTTAATTAAACAAGAGTTGAATATCCCGTGA